CCCACCCGCTCTTTGAATCGATCTTGAAGGAGATCTGAGCTGGACACCAAGCCCCCTCCTTCATCATTCGTACAGAGGGCAACTTGTGCCTTAACTGAATACGATGAAAACAAATTTGCTTCACAGTCCAGCCAACTGCGATGCCTCATTCTTGTACATCTCTTGTAAAGCTAGCTCACCTTCTTGACTGAAGTATAAGTTTGTGTTCACTTCTAGAGCAATGCATGATCTGGCGCTTGTTGTGAGGTTGCTTTGTATGTAACATGAATGTGCAGTTGCAAATCGACTCGACCAGATGACGAAAGCGCTGAAAAGAAACTGAAGGTTCACAACTAGAATCTTTCATTCAGCCAATGTAAGACTAGCAAACACCTCGAATTCCGCAATACTGGCAAACGTTCGGTGATGCATTTCAACTGGCAGTTTGTGATCCACCTAAAGTTAACATAACATACGAAGCAATGTTCCTCAGTTATACCCACCAGAAGATGCTTTCTCAAGATGCTCATAGAAGCATATATCTCTCGACAATGAAGAACAGGACAGACGTGATTGTTCTGTAAACAGACTTATAAAGCTAAAAGCGGATAACAAACAATTTGTACTCACGTTGTAAGAGCCATGGATTTTGTAACGATGATGAGTATACGAAGCCTTGTTCATAAACTCAACAGTTTCTCCTAGCTCCAAACAAATCCGACAGATGAAGGTGCCGTTATTGGTTTCCAAAGGTTGATACAGCTGGAGAAGGAAGCGATTACGCCTTACTGAGATTCAAACAAGATTTACCTGATAGATTATATTTTGGTCATGTTGTGTGTGAACCATGCTGTCATATTCGTACACATATTGACGTCCAGCAGCAAGCTCTCCGACTTCTTCAACCGCTTCAGCCATGAGATCGTCGGCCGCGATAACTTCGATCTATAAGCGATGCATTGAATGCACGGCATATGAAGGGATCACAGAACTTTTCAAGGCAACTATCGAGATTCTTCAGCACGTGGACGGTTACGACCATTTATGACTATTTGATTAGACACCGCCGCGAATTTGGGAGACT